CTTGACATACCCTAACAATGTCGTATTAGCGACCCTTGGCTGCAACATCATCATAGTATAACTGTCCTCATATAAGACTCTATGATGACCTTAAGTCAATGGACCAATTTCACTACCGAACATTAGAGATTAACTACTAACACTTAAATAGTTATCCCATGTAATATCTCTTTAATGGGTCTTCAATGTTTTGTTCTCTCAACAAAACATGCACATACTCATTTAAGTGTCACCACACTCTAACTTGTGAGATCATCTACTTATTTCATAAGTAAGAAATGCTACACATGCTAGTCTATCATAGTAATGATATCCGTATCTCGTTATTATTTACAACCATAGATTATTTAAAATTCATTCATATGTAATTTGTATCTCAAAATCATATCACCTTGTAATTAACAAATTACTAAAACTTGAATTTACGAACTCTATTATTTAGAATAATAATTAAATTAAAGAATAAATCTGCTATAAATAATATGCATAAATTATATATTGAAAATATTTACGTCCAAAATCGATTGGATATATGATGCAACACTTACAAATATCTCCTAATCTTTTATTTTGATGTAAAATCAATCAAACATTGTAGAAAACTCCAATTCTTTCCGTTCATATCTGTTAATTTCTCCGTTAAAAGGAATTTTTAAGTGCAAAATTAATAAAAATATCAAAGGCATTTTTTGTCTTATCATCTCCAAACCTGAAATTATCATAAACAAGAATTTCTTGAGTGTGTTTCATTTTGGGATATGAAAATGGAAGAAATTTGAAGCTAATTTATTGGGGTTTCTACATAGATTTCTTTGGTTACTCTCCCATTTTGCTTTTAAAAAAACACGGTGTTAAGTAAATATGTGGAGATGATTAGGAAAAAAAGTGTACTTAAATTTTTTTTTTTTTTTAAAATTTTGAACTTCCTGATCCCTTATATTGGAGAATTAATAGATGTGAACGACACGAGGATTTCTGAAATGTTTGAGTGATTGAAGGGTGGTGGGATTGTGCCAAAATGAACGGTTATGGGAGTATTCCACAAATAGGCAAAGATTAGGGTTATCGGCACAATACTTCCTATTTGAGTTTTACTTTTATTGTAATTTGTTTATTTTCGTCATTAACAAACAAGAGTGGTTATTATTATTATTTTTTTTTTTTAAAAATCTATTATTTTATACATTTCGGAAATTTTTAAACAATGTTATTTCATACTCTATCCTACCTAATCTTTCCAATAAAACAATTAATTCATCCACACACAGAGAAAACCTCTTGAATGAACTGGTTTCTTTAGTTTATAAGATCTGGGATCAGTTTGAATTTGGATAAACACTTCGCCACAGCCTTCTTCAACACCGTCACAAAAGATTTCATGGACACTCTTTGTTTATACCTTCCTCTCGTATTTGTTTTGTACATCATCACCAAACACTTCTTCAACAAACTCAGGAATCTTCCACCGAGTCCCATTCTCAATCTACCCATTATTGGCCATCTCTATCTTCTGAAGAAACCCATTTACAGATCTTTAGCCAAGATCTCTGACAGTTATGGCCCAATACTTTTGCTGCAATTTGGCTCCCGCCGTGTCTTGGTAGTGTCCTCCCCTTCAGCCGCCGAGGATTGCCTCAGTAAAAACGATATTGTTTTTGCCAACCGGCCCCGTTTGATTGCCGGAAAACATATCGGAAGTAATTACACAACCGTGGGATGGGCACCTTATGGAGACCACTGGAGAAACCTCCGTAGAATATCTTCTATCGAATTGCTATCCAATCACAGACTCCAAATGCTTCAACATATTCGTGTGGATGAAGTCAACGTCATGTTGAAAAGGCTGTATCGCGCTTCGGAAGCGCATCAGACGGTTGACGCGAAAACTGCGTTCTTTGAGTTGACAATGAATGTGATGATGAGAATGATAGCTGGAAAAAGGTATTATGGTGAAAACGTGGAGGATATTGAGGCGGCGAACCTGTTCAGGGAGATTGTGGTCGAGAGTTTTCATACTGCTGGCACATGGCATATGGCCGATTATCTACCGGTATTGCGGTGGTTGGGAGACGTGGGAGGAGTTGAGAAGAGATTAATGAAGTTGCAGGAAAAGAGAGAGAAGTTCATGCAGGAACTGGTTGAAGAATGGAAAAGAAGAATGGGGAGTAGCGCTGCCACTTGCGGCGCCCTTGGGGATTCAGACGCGGGTGGGAAAAAGAGAACGATGATTGAAGTGCTGCTGACGCTGCAGGATGAAGAACCTGAATTTTATACAGATAGTATTATCAGAAACCTTACGCTGGTAAGTCCTAAATATTTTTGCAATAAAATTAAGAAAGCAAAAAGATAGTTCAGTATTGCCACAGATAAAAAAAAAAGACAAAATATAAATGATTTACTTCAGGAAATATACAATCAAATGACATTTTTTTTTAATAATTTGCAGTTTTAAAATTTAAGGATGATCGAAAACTGGAGCTAAAACATTGTACTTTGTTAGGCGATGAATTTCATATCGAATAAAGATGAAAAAATAATTTATAAGGTATTGGGTTACTTAAGGTTGATCTTTTAAAATGGAATTCCATTTACTCAAAGGAGCAACCATCTTACAGAGACATGCTAAGAATAAATCTCATATCGAATAAAGATGAAAACAAAGACCAATTTATAAGCAATTGAACCCCGAGTCTTAATAGACAATATCACAAATGTGTCATAGTTTTACCCTAATTTTTAACTTTATTTCGTTATTTATTTGGTTCCAGATCGACCAGAGAAAAGAATACGCTTATCGAATTTGATAGATGATCCGAATCGATATATGTTGAAGTCTTACCCTGAAAATTAACTTTATTTTCGTTTTATATTTGGATCCATATTCACTAGAAAAGAACACACACACACAAACAAAAAACAAAGAAAATACCATATAAGAAATCTGCACTAATTGATTTTAATTTGGACCCACCCTTTGTCAATAATTCATTAATTTAATATCTGCGTATTATATGTAAAGACGGCATATTAGACTCAAACATAAATTAATACCTTTATAGTATATATAGCCCTTTTGTGGGATTAAAATTAAATTTTTAGTAAATTTTGATAAAAATTGATGAAATATTTGGTTGAAAAATTGTGTTTTCTATAAAATGTGTAATTAAAATTAGCTGTTGATTTTAATTTCGATTAAAATTAAAATTTTAATTTATATCAAACATGGGCATGTAAAGATGGCATAGTCGATTCACGCTCTTATAAAAAATGATAAAAGGTAAAGTCCCTTTTGCTGTAAATAAAAATTATATTTTTAATAGATTTTGATAAAAGTTAATAGATTATGTGCTTAAAAAAATGTGAATTCATTGTGATAACACAATGAATTATTGAAATTGATTTAAAGTTTAGTAACTTTTTTAGCTGGACCAAATATAGCGCAGAGTTTAATGTCATAAATTGCTCAACATTAATTATTGGGTAGATTGCAAATTTATTTCCCAATCTTTGGCCAAAGTTGCGATCCCACCACAACTAATATATTTTATAGTTTTTTTTCTCCGACATTTGAAAAGCAAACAAACTCAGTCCCTCTTGATGATTTGACATTTTTTTTTGTTAATTAAGGCTTATGCTTTGCGCACGTCATTTTTTATAAAGGATAAAAATCACTTAGTACATTTTTAATGCCATGTACTAAGTGAAATCACTGGATATCTAGGCTTTGTTGGTGGCAGGGACAGATACATCAGCTGGAACAATGGAGTGGGCTTTATCTCTTTTACTGAACAATCCACGAGTCTTAAAGAAAGCACAAAATGAAATTGATAATCATATTGGACGTGAACGGTTAATGGACGAATCAGACCTAGTTGATCTTCCTTACCTACGTTGCATTGTAAATGAAACAATGCGAATGTATCCTACAGCCCCTATGCTAGTACCTCACGAGTCCTCAGGCCGGAGCACTGTCGGAGGATATCACATACCAAGAGGCACCATCTTGTTAGTAAACGCGTGGAGTATACAAAATGATCCTAAAATTTGGGAAGATCCCAGAAAATTCAACCCGGAAAGATTTGAAGGCCATGAAAGAACAGCTGATGGATTGAAGTTGATGCCATTTGGTTTCGGGAGGAGGAGATGTCCTGGGGAGGGCTTGGCCTTGCGTATTGTCCCACTTGTCTTAGGATCAATCATCCAATGCTTTGATTGGGAAAGAGTTGGCAAGGAAATGGTTGACATGACTGAAGGATTTGGACTAACCACACCCAAAGCTCAACCTTTAATGGCTAAATGCAACCCTCGTCCTATTGCAGCTAAGCTTCTTTTTCCTTAACATGTGGTGTTTCACCTTCCTTCGTTTTTTTCATTAAGTGATGTTGAAATGAGTAAGGTCTCTCTAAAGACCTAGACAGTACAAAGAACATGTTTGTAACATTGTGATGTTGAATATCTGCATCTCTTGAACTTTACCCCTCCTATAATTATAATCATTTTCTTTTTATTTTGGGGTTTATTTTTTCAATCAGTAGAGAATGAAAAGACAATGACCATTTTGTTGGAAAATTCGAAATTGGTTGTGACCAATTTAAGTGATTGTTTAAGTGGAATTTTTTGATTGGTGAATGAGAAATTAAACCAAACTTAAAATGCTTAAATGCTTGAAATTGTTGGAAATTGTATAGAATATTGTGGAATATTTTAGAGAATGAGTAGATGAAAAGATGAGTCTTTTCATATGGATCTTGACTCTTAGCATTATTTTTCAATAATGGTCTCTTTATGTAGAGATGTAATTGTACCTCTTTATGGAGAGATTTAAATTCCAAGAGATGTGTCTCTTGGTATGGATGTTCCAACTACTATATATATAGATCCCCATGTGTTTGGATTAAACAACATGAAAAACAACAAACAATTCAATTGATAGTTTCATATCATTCCATTCCATGTTTACAATTTAGTTTTGCATAAAACACTTTGTAGAAGTGATTATTTTTTGCATCAAAATCATAGTTACGGTAGAGAGGGAACTCTG